TTGCTTTGCACAGTTCTTGTTTCTTTTGTAGATTTTGGAATGTCTGTTCACTAATTATTGTCACATCCGCCCCAGTATCTATCTTAAATGCTACTGGTGTGTTTCCAATTGTCAGATTGACAGTCCATGTCTCTGTGTTTTTCCCTGTCTGTTGTACAGATCCAAGGTAAAATGAGTCTGTCTTTCTTCCCTCATGACTTCATGGACTAATTTAGTTTTGCACATGTGTTCCCAATGGCCTTTCTTGTGACATCTCCTGCATTCTGCTCCTAAGGCTGGACATTTCTCTCTGTCTTTATGTTTTGCTTTGCCACATCGGCTGCATTTGTCCTCACCGTTCTTTGTTTTTCCAGTTTGGCGCTCTCTGTTGTACTCAGACCTGTAGCCAGTACGCTGTTTGGGTCGCCTGCTCTCTTGAACGCTGCATGTTGGATCCCCCTGCTGGCTGACCTGGTGAGTAACTTCCTCAGCTTGTCTTACCATTTGTACCGCGACATCCAGAGTGATATCTTTAATTAGTTGTAATCTTTTTGACAGGTCCTTGTCTCTAATTCCTACAACTAATCTGTCTCTGATGTTCTCATTTCTGTTAGCACCGAAATCACAGTTTTCTGACAACTCGTACACTCAGCTTTTTCCCCTGGTCTTTGGGTTCGCTGGTGAAACTGTGCACTCTCGTGTATAACGTTGGTCTGCGGCACGAAATAGTCATCGTACTTCTTCAAAACTGTCTCGAAATCGTCTTCTTTCTCTCTTTCATTGAAAGCGAATGATTTGTAAATATTTCTGCCTCGATTCCCATCGCGTAAATCAATGTACTCACTTGGACGGTCCCATCCTCTTCTGTGAGCTTGGCAGCCGTTCTGTATCTCACGAAACGCTGCTGCCATGACGGCCATTCTCTTGGCTTGTCGAATGTAAAGTTGTCCGGCGGTTTGAAAAGTGGCATTTTTGGGCAGGTAGTTCTCTTTTTACGTTGCCACTTCTGACACCATGTCAAGAAAGGAGGCAGACGATGACTCTTTCTTTAGTTTAATAACGAAAACAATAAAAGAACAGAGGTCCAGATACACAAGTGTTTCTTGTTGGCGTGCTTACGTTACTTGCTTTTTTTCTAGTACCCCAGGCTTCCTTTAAAGACACTTACACAATACTCTGACAAATATTATTTTGCGTTATCTTTATAGCCATATAGTAATAGCAGCAATAGATATTTTACCTCAGATCTTGAAAATAAATTAAAGCAAACTTGTACGTTAAAACTGTGAACAGTTTTTGCTGTCACATCATATCTTCACTGGAGGCAACAAAGCATTGCAAATCATTTGAACGTTGTGTCAGTACGTTATAAATAGAAAGAGTCAGCAGTTTACTGTTGGGGATTTGTCGTGTTGTGCCGCATCCAAGACAGCATCACTGATTATAACGAGTTCTTGTATTTTATTGCGTTGCGCCACTCGCGTCCGGTGTAGACACGATGTAAGTTAATGTAGCTTTCTGATGCTGCGTTTGAATTTTCATGCCACATTATTTGAAATTAGCTCAGGCCAAATTTTTTTCTCTCACGGGCCGGATGTGGCCCGCAGACCGCCTATTGAGGAACCCTGCTCTACACTGTGAATCACTCACAGTGGTAACTCCTCCCCTCCTCTGAAATCCTGAAACTTTATAGGATAACGCCAGTACAATAAACTGGACAATTGTCGATAATTATGCAAATCGCATGCAAACACTGACAAGCCTGTGGGCAGCATATAATGCGGTGAGGGCGACAATCGCCTCAGAATCTTCTCCACGCTGAGGCGACGTTCTCTGAGTCTGACTGCGTGCACTGCACTGACTTGCCGGTGCGTGTTTTGAGGACTCGGAGGACGCCTTACGACGGCGAGGCCCACTGCCGTCAGCGAGCTGCTGTTGGGCCCTCCCCTCCCTCGGGCGATGGTGACGACTCGGACCGGGGCAGTCGTCTTCTGCCGTCGCCCCTTTCGCCAGTCCTTTTCACTAACGAGAGCCTTGGCCCCTAGGTCCCGTTCTTCCCAATTGTCCACGAGCAGGTGGTGAAGCTGTGGTCTGCACCCCAGTCGGCGCGCATCCATTCTTCCACTCAGGCCATGTTCTCCTACATAAACGGGACGGAGGCCCACGACTATGAGCACATGCCCTCCGTCGAGGAGACCGTCACCGCACATCTGTGCCCTTCCTGGGCCACGCTTGCCGCAGAACTCAGCCTGCCTTGCAGATTGACCGCCCACCTCGCTGACAAGGCTAACACCTAAGTGGGCGAAGCTGCATCTGCGTTGCACACGATGGCGCTGCTGCAGGTCTTTCAAGCTAAGCTCCTGCAGCCCCTGGACAGCAGCGACGGACTTCACACTGATGACGACAAAGTGCTCAGCTCAAGCCATCGGTCGTTCAATGGGCTTCATGATAGTCTTTCACAGGCAAGGCATACCAGTACTTAGTTTTCCCATTCGGGCTGGCTTTAGCCCCACACACATTCTCGAAGTGCATAAATGCAGCGCTTTCCCCTCTCAGAGCGAGCGGTATGCGCATTCTAAACCATCTGGACGATTGTCTGATTTTGGCCCATTCACGAGATATGCTTATCAGTCATAAGGACGCGCTGCTTCGCCATCTGGAGTCCCTAGAGCTACATGAGAATATGCAGAAGAGCATGTTCACCCCGAGTCAAGTCTATAACTGGGTGTGTGTTTTGACTTGGTGGAGATGCGAGTCCGCCTCTCTCAAGAGCGCAAAATGACTATTTCATCAGCTCTTTTTTACAAAAACAATGAATCTTACCGACCCCTAAACGTTGAAAGGTAGTGTACATTACAATTGCATGATTATAATTTTTTTTATACATACATAAAAACGTTACTGTACATTACAATTGCATGTTTTATACATTATTAAAATTTTTTAATGATGAAATAATATATTTATATACATGTAATAAAAGTAGTAATAATACATTTTTTCCCCAGGTTGTTTCCTATTCTACAGTACCAAAGTGTGATATCCCTAGTTTGTTCTGAACCTCCAAGTAAGGTAATTCCTTGCCAGTCACAACTGCATCATCAGTAGTGGTCATGATATTGATGTAGCATGCATGTAGGACACAGAGAGAAAGTTTTGTTGACCAGGTCAATAACGCAAACATCAATCATTCCACTCAAACTGGGTCCTCACAGCAGAGGTCACCGAAGACCAAAGTCTCATGCCAAAGTTCATTATAAACCTGATCATCACAAAACAAATAAACCTGCAGGAGCGACATTATTTTTTCTCTCCCTGACAGAAACATCCAGTGTAAGTGCTTGTCTCCATGAGAACAGTTTCCAGGTTGAAAGGGTAGGGATGACAAGGGAACTAGGGCCGATACTCAATTTCTGTATTGGCTCTGATACTGCCATTTACTGAAGGATCGGGTATTGGTCAGACGAGACCGATCCAAATCCGATATTGTGCGTATACTATTGTGTTATTGTTGAGCCCCAAGAAACATACAAAAACATTATAAAGCACCATAAAGTTTTCGTCTACTATATTCAAAGAGTTCCATAGTTTAAAGTTAGGTTCAGATGAATATTTAAGTCGTTAAATTCAAGTTTGCATAAACTCTTCTCTCTGCTGCGGCTGTCTGTCATCCTCCAACATTCAAACTGCGTATCGCGTTTGGTTATGACAGTCAAGACAATAACATTCTATCCAAGATGTCCCTATAATTATACTTGATCTGTAGATAAAGATCAATGGTTTTGCATAAATGGACTTTATCTTGCTGGAGTTTAGTGCTGTTTCTAAATCATGTTACTTTCTACCGGCTGTCTGTTAGATCACAACACTGGAGTAGAGAGCATTGAAATTTAAAACTGTTAAAAGAAAAGGCTCAATAAACTGTTGTACAGACATAATACACTACGCATCAATGTCTCTTCGGACTGCGCGCTGTGACTCTGTGTTGCTTCAAGTGCATCATTCTGTGCACGGGATGCGCATAAGAGCTTTGTGCCGCTCTGTATTGGAACCTTTGATATTATAATACTTTTGCGCAATGAAAGATTATTAATAGTCTTTCTTGTTCTGTCCTATCTATCATATGCTGCTGCCTCATTACTGTGCTATACATTTAAAAGAAATCTCTTTCAATTTTATAGTATATATTTATATATAAATATATTTACTTGTTTTTCATGAATGTATTTTACAACAATACAAAGAGCAATGTTTAACATTTTACCAGATTTAGTTCTACACTTAAAATTCACTTTTATTTTTTCCCCACTAAATAATGTTTTTTCACTAAATTGTTTAGATTTATAAAATTATTGTGCACTCATGGTCTTTTCTAGAGTAACTTTTGCTGCTGAATTATCCACTAACCTAGTTTATAATAGTATTTTTGTCATTGATTATGATTATTTTTTCATTTATTTTTCTTTAAAATTAAGTTGTCTATAGTTAGTAGAACGTGTTTAACACACAAAAGAGTGATGATCCAAAGTGACTTCCAACAATGCAAGCAATTTTATCATAAGAGCCAACAATATTTGAATCTTACAAGTACAAGATAGATTAGTACACAATCCAGAGCAGATATAAAATCCAGAAAGATAGATAAAGAAGTTAATTATTTATTTTTTTTAAAGGAAATGCCTTTTTTCTAATTGTAAATTAAAAAATCAAATAAATAATAAAATAAATGCAGCTTTTGTGAGCATAAAAGAAGAAGAAAAAAATCTTGCTGATTGAGATAAACACTGTTAGAAGATGTTTTCATTAGCAGACCTTTAGGTAGAGTTTTTTTTACTGTCTTTGATTTAATTGCTCATGTTGCTTACATTAGTGAGGGTCAGACTATAGTTCTTACACTCCATTTTACTCTCAATCAGTGAGTGTTGCTGAGTGTTCATTTTGGTGCCCAATCCTGCCTGAAAAAAAACAAGCAGCAGGTTTCTAAAAATTGTGCCTGGATGCAGGGTGTACAGACTGCTTACCTGGAGGTACACTGTAGTGGGTGGCGTTATTGGCGTCGGGCTGGGGTGAGGCTTTGCTAGGCTCCCGAGGAGAGAGTCTGTACGGAGAGTCTGGTCTGCCTGCTCCACCATGAGATTCCTGCTCCATCAGCTTCAGGTCATACGGCATGTAAGCGAACAGCTTACCTGGGGACAGGACAGAGAAGAAAGTCTATCAGATACTCAGACATCAAGCAGACAGACAAAGACACAAAACAATGTCAATCGCACTTTCTAAAAGTGCCCTCTCTCTAGTAGCGATCAAGAAAACTTCTTATTCAAACCATACAGACTCATCATGCATTAATCACAGGAATAGATATAAAAAGGTTAATTCAGTGCTATCACTGTAAATGCACTGACAAGAGAAATGTCAAGGCTTTTTAGAGCTACAGTCTGCCGGTCTATAAGGACGAGGTCAAGCAAAACTTGGTGTTTCTAATGGATATCACTACAAGAGTGTGACCTAGGGCTGTGCGATTTGGGGGAAAATATCAAATTGCGATTTTTTTGACAGATATTGCGATTGCGATTTTAAATTTGCAAAGTCAAGCTTCAGCTCAATATTGTCAATAATGTGCAGCACAGTATGGGTATCATTACCCTGCTGAAAAAAACAATAGAAACCATCACAGAAATTCTTATAGTTTCCATTAAACCAATACAAAATTCCTTTTTGTTTTGGGCATTATTCCAATAGGAATGCCATCTGCCAGATTACATCCCACCAATAGAATCCATCAAATAGACACCACTATAGTTTACATTAAAACCAAAATACAATTCCCATTATAACCCTGAAATCCATAAATTTTTTTGTGTTTTAGGAGGGGTTCTATTGTTGTTGTTTTTCAGCAGGCAAGATTATAATGGTATAACTACTTTTACAGAATTAACTTAATTACTGAATTTCACAGAAAATATTTGTTTATTTTTTATAAATAAAGAACTGTATTTCTTAAGTCAATTATTAAAGTATTACATATGTTACATGCTGATTTATTCATTTTAAGTATTTGGGATTTTAAGAACAAGTGGAAAATGTGCTGAATGTTTCATTTCATCCAAGTGAAATCAGCAAAC